GAAAAGGTTCAAAAAAATATTTTCAAATATAAAATACATAAAAACATAGAAATAAAAAAAATAAAAAATTATAAAAATTGAAAATAAAATAAAAAAATATTTTCAAATTATAGAAACTATAGAAATTGAAAAACAATATCAGAAAATAAAAATTATAGAAAAAGCACCAAAAATTATAGAAAAACACAAAAATTGCAAATAAATATAAAAAAAAATACAGAAAAAATTATAGATTGTAGAAAATAGAAAAATGTAAAAAAACATAAATTATAAAAAACATTGCAAATTAGAACAAAACACTAAAAATGCAAAAAAAAAACAAGAAAATTGAAAACTGAAAAAGACTATTTTTCCTCTAACTCACCATTCAAGGGTAATTTGGTCATGAAAATTGTTATTTATGCTGACATGGACACCTTTGTTAAGAAGCATTAACGGTGCACTAATGGAATGTGAGTTTTGGAAAATAAAAACTTACTGACATGGTGAGTTTTAGACATTTTGAAAAGTTGTGAGTTTAAGAGAAATGTTGAAAACTCATTGTTAGTTTTAGACAATTTGCCAATAAAAAAAAATGTTTATTTAATAAGCAATCATACTAAATAGTATTTTGAAATAAATGCCTATGTGGCAATGATTGAACAACCTTGCTACCATGCAAGGACTGTGAGATATTCCCATGCTTGATTTCAAGAGCTGTGAGGACAGTGTAAGGATGAAATCCGAATTCTAGACAATACACCCGCCCTATAGACTAAATAAAATTCAAAGGGAAAAAAAAAATGCCCCTTCACTTGAGGGTTGTTGGCCTGCTTATGTTTCATTATTAATGACTTGAGCCTTAGATTTAGTGTTATTTAATACAGTTTTAGGATTCATATAAATTTCCTTAGTATATCTATGCAATACCATTTCACTGCACCCATGTGTCTCCTTATTGCAAGATTTTAAAAACCAACCTCGAAACCGCTTTGACCACCACCTATTTATGGGTCAATGATTCGATCGTCTAAGTCGAGACATATATAACTCTTTTATGAGAAAAGCTGAGAGAAGTAGGTGGTTGCTGGTTGAGAAAGAAAAAAGAAAGAGAGGAAGGAGAAAGGAGAAGGTGACGGTCACAAGCAATGGTGATGATGACGGGGAGGAGATGGCAACATTTTCCCCAGCCCCTTAACCACAAACCGTAGCTTCGGTTGAACAGTTTAACAATTCAACCATCTGGGTTAGTGATTTTCTAACCATTTCAAAACTGTTTTCAGTCCAAACAGTTTGGCCATCCAAGTCAG